CTACACTCAATATGCCAGCAAGTTTGAAAAACTCAGCAATGGCCAGGGGATTGGAAAAGATCAGTCTACATCCTAATCCCAAAGAAGGGTAGTGCCAAAGAATGCTCCTACTACCATTCGATTGCACTCATTTCACACACTAGCAAGGTTATGCTCAAAATCCTCCAAGGTAGGCTTCAGCAGTATGTGGACCGTGAACTCCCAGAAGTACAAGCTGGATTTCAAAGGGGCAGAGGAACTAGAGACCAAATTGCTAACATGCGCTGGATTATGGAGAAAGCAAGAGTTCCAGAAAATCATCTGCTTCATTGACTACGCAAAAGCCTTTGACTGTGTGGATCACAGCAAACTATGGCAAGTTCTTATAGAAATGGGAGTGCCTGACAACCTTATCTATCTCCTAAGAAATCTATATGTGGGACAGGAAGCAATTGTCTCCCTGCTTATTTAACCTATATGCAGAATACATCAGGTGAAAGGCAGGACTGGATGAATCCCAAACTGGAATTAAGATTGCCAGAAGAAATATCAACAACCTCAGATATGCCAATGATACCAGTCTGATGGAAGAAAGTGAGGAGGAATTAAAGAACCTCTTAATGAGGGTGAAAGAGGAGAGTGCCAAAAATGGTCTGAAGCTCAACATCAAAAAAAAAAAAAAAAAAAAAGATATCGGCAACTCGCTTTTGAATTGTGGTGCTGGAGGCAACTCTTGAGAGTCCCCTGGACTGCAAAAAGAATAAATCTATCCATTCTGAAGGAAATCTACCTCAAGTGCTCACTGGAAGGACAAGTCCTGAAGCTGAGACTCCAATACTTTGGCCATCTCATGAGAAGAGAAGACTCCCTGGAACTCCAGGAGGCAGTATAAGACAGGAGGGCCTGGCGTGCTTTGGTCCATGGGGGTCACAAAGAGTCGGACACGACTTAATGACTAAACAACAACAAGGTTTCTAAACTTACTATCACTCTCTTACCCCTCTTTAAGGCACCTTTTAAAAGGCCTTTTCAATTTCAGGGCAGTACTGTTGCCCTATTACAAAAACAATTTTTAAACTCTACAATGGAATGGATAGACTCCCTCTCCCTTTCTCATCAGAGAACTGTAAGGATTAGAGATGGGGATATTTGTGTTTGTATATGAATACCCCCGTGCAGGTGGACATAATGAGGGTCCACCCCCTTGGGGCTGGACTGTCCACTCACCCTTCCACTGCTCCCGTTGACTCCATGCTCCTATCGCTCTGGAGCTCGCCATCAACTAGCCACCTCTGGCAAGACGTCAAGCTGAGGCTCCAATACTTTGGCTATCTCATGAGAAGACTCCCTGGAAAGGCCCCTGATGTTGGGAAAGTGTGAAGGCAAGAGTAGAAGGGTACAACAGAGGATGAGTTGGTTGGAGAGTGTCACCGAAGCTACCAACATGAATTTGACCGAACTCCGGGAGGCAGTGGAAGATAGGAGGGCCTGGTGTCCTCTGTTTCATTGGGTCACCAAGATTTGGACATGACTTAATGGCCTGGTGTCCTCTGTTTTATGGGGTCACCAAGATTTGGACATGACTTAATGAATAATCAACAACAACCATGTGAAATGGAAGTAAGAAGGGGAATAACAAAATATAATGATTTTAAAGAGGTATGGGCAGTTGTATTTGGAGTATGTCTTAGTAAAAGGGAAAGGTCATAAGCCAGCAGACAAAGCAATGTATTTTTGGAGTTGTATGCCTCTGTTTTATGGGGTCACCAAGATTTGGACATGACTTAATGAATAATCAACAACAACCATGTGAAATGGAAGTAAGAAGGGGAATAACAAAATATAATGATTTTAAAGAGGTATGGGCAGTTGTATTTGGAGTATGTCTTAGTAAAAGGGAAAGGTCATAAGCCAGCAGACAAAGCAATGTATTTTTGGAGTTGTATGTGGAGAAAAAGGATTAAAATAATATTTCTGGTTACCTAGTCCCAAGGGTGAAGGTGGCACAGGTGGGGAATTTTAGTTTTGTTGTATGTACATACATTTTATGTTAGTGTTGTTCTCATTTTTCTGTAATTTTTTTTCAAATTTTAAAAAATAGAATCCGATCCTATTAATACCTACAGTACTTGACAGTAACCTCTACTGAATTCAGTGCATGTGATGTCAGAGTAGACAGTATTACACTATAAATCCATTCATGTGTGTTTAGAATAGCCAGTATGGTGTGGATAGAAGGATGTTCTACGTGGCCAGAGTTCGAGTCCCCAATTAGACACAAAAACTGCCCCTGGAACTGGTAAAATCACTCAGATATCTCAAGTTGAAAGCCCTATTACAGTGTCGCTGTAAGTTGCTTAGAATTTGACATAACATAACAAGATCCTAGCAAGTTTTTAAAGGTAAGGGGGATACTTAGGAAGTGGTTTTAAGACTTTCATTCCACTCCAGCAATTTCCACATTCCAGGGGGGACTTGAACCCAGGTCTCCTGAATCCTAGTCCGTTATTCTATCCACTACAATGTCTAGTGTAAGTAAACCGTTTCCCATAACAGCACATTGCTACACATTTAGAAGTCAGTTACCGAATTCTGCGGGACAGAATACTCCAGCGCTTGAACGAGGGGTATGATCGAGTAAGTAGCCCCAGGTAAGTTAAGATCGCAGCCTTTTAACGATGTTGTTTCGAGGCACGTGTTTAAACCAGAGCATATTAACGGCTATTAATTTATTTTGTGAACACCAATACGGATTTCTGCAAGTCCTTCAGTCCAATCGGATGCCACGGCACGTGCATCCGAGACTTCACACGTGCTGCGCCATCAGCAAGCTTTCTTTTCCTTCCGTTTTAAAGCGAAGATACGAGCCAAAATCCACCAGCAGTCCCGAAGTAAGCGAATCGTGGTCGCATTGGGCACACCTGAAACTGATAAAGAGCTTCGGACAGGAAGCAGCTGCCGCTTGGGGTACCTGAGGGCCCAGGCGGGGAATATGCAGAACTATAATGATCGCCTCTGAGCTGTTACAGAGTGCCGGTGTCCCCTTCTCTAATAATTTAAGATAAAGGGAGGTTCTGAAGCAGCCGCCCCGCGCCTGTGCTTAGAAAGGACCCTCCCGGATTGGAGACAGAGAAATTTGTCCCTCTGGGCGCAAAAGGAATCTCTCTCTTCGCCCCCGGAGCCCCTTGCCCACTGTATTTCCCGCCGTTTCCATTGTCTCGGCCTTAAAGCGCCCCTTCTCGTTTCTGCCGCTCTTCACGCCATGCTCTCTCCTGCTTGCGGTTTCTTGGCATCCAGGGGACTGAGGACTCCCCGCCGCCGGTGGAGCTGGGCACCTGGGGCTGTGGTAAGTCAGCGGCCCCGAGCCCTTGAGGCCGCCGCGGAGAAGGGCGGGCTGGCGTTCTACGTTCTCTGGTCTCCGAATGAGCCGCCCCGACAGCTCAGCAGGTGAGACCTCTGCGCGCCGGTGGACCTACTCAAGAGGCAGAGATCTGTTCTCCAAGCACTGAGGAGCAGAGTAGGAAGGAAATCAAAATTAGGCGGGGAAACGATAGCCATTGAGCAGGACTGACGCTGCACCGTCGGTTGACCATTCCTGCAGCTTCAGGTTTCACCCTCACGCAGAGAGTTCTGTTTGGTATATTCACCTATGACGCTAAAAGCAACTGTGAATTTTTTTTCACTGTCTGTGAGGTGTGTACCTGTGGACTTGTTGCTCTTTTAAAAAAAATCAAACCTAGTATATGTGTGAGGAGGAGCAAATTCTTGATCAGACAGATATTTGTAGATTTTTTTTGCACTTCTGAAATGCTTAACATTTTTGCATGTCATCTGTTGCTAAGGTATAAAAGCAGAGCATGCTAATTGTTTTTTTTTTCCTGGCCAGTTTTCCGTGGGATAGTTTCCTTTTTTTTCTCTCACCATGATCAGGCTGGGAGGGGACTGAGATTTAAATAGCAAAAAAAGTATTTCAGATGCTTCTGGATCGTATGGATTGTTATTGTTTGACTGTTTTTTTTTCAGGGTTTGGGGGGGGGTTGAGCAAGGGGAAGTGTTGTCTACTGAAGCTCCTGGGCTCTTAAGAAGAGTTACCCATCCAACTGTGCTGTAAGTGCAAAAGAGGACAGTTTTGATGGGATGTGCATATCCTGCCTCATGTAGGGGTTCCACATCATTCATGAAAAAACAGTTGTGTGGTCTCTGCAAAATCCAAAAGTGCAAACAAAGTTCAAATTGCAATTGAACTTTAATACAATAAAAATCCTGACGGCCGAACTATTATTTAGCTATGAAGTTGACAGTGAAAACACTGAAATTGTTAAAGATTTTCTATACCTTGGTTCAATAATCAATCGAAATGGAGGTTGCAGCCAAGACATAAGACAACTAAGGCTCAAAAGGGCAGTTATGAAAGAACTAGGAACATTTCTTAAGAGCAAGGATATGACACAGAAGGCCAAGATATTATGGTGTTACTAGAATCGTAGACTACAGTATGTACTTAAATTGGAAATGGCCATGGAGTCCAACCCCCTGCTCAATGCAGGAATACAAATCAAAGGATATCTGCCAGGTGGTTGTCTAAATTTTTCTTGTATGCCTCCAATGTTGGAGCACTCACCACCGACTATGGTAATTGGTTCCATATTATGTAAGGATGTGAAAATGACAGTGAAGGAAGCTAATGACATAAACTGAGTCATTTGAAATATAATGCTGGAGGATACCGTGGGCCACCAGGAGGACAAAAAAAGTGGAATCTTTACTGTTACAGTAATACTTTGGGTATATTATGAGAAGACAAGACTCGCTGGTAAAGACAGTTATGCTAGGGAAAAGTGGAAGGCAGTAGGAAAAGAACCAGCCAAGCATGAGATGGGTTGACTCAATGAAGGAGGCCTCTCAACAATAGCTGACCAGAACTGTTAATCTTTGAAGGCTATTAATTCAGAGCCTCCCTGTTAGTTGGGAGAGACTTGATGGCATGTGAGAACAAAAGCTTGTGCACCCTTTTCTCTTAACGTGAATTGCTGGGGCAAGGTGGTACACCTTAAAGGCATATTTGCATTCACTTAATAAAGTCTTATATATTTTTCGTTTGATTAATAAATGTTAGGGTTCCATACATTTTGTGGGCCTCCTCTTTCATCAGTCCAACTGTTGTGTTTGCAATATGGTTGGAAACTTCAGAATTATACAGAAATTGTTCATAGATTGGGCATTGGGGAGGGACATCTCTAAAAAACCAGGTAAATCACTCCATACATCTGTACGCATCCCCCAGTTTAGGAACACTATTTTTGTCTACGTCTATTTGGGGATTCTGGGATCCGTGTTCAAAACAACTTTTTCAAGCTCTGTCCCTTCTCCTTTCTGTTGAAATAATGATACTGTATGCATTTTCTTGTCCTGTCCAAGCAAATGCCATCGGAAATTTTACCAGACTCGCTTACCACTTCCACTGCCAAAACACTTAGTAATCTTTGGATTAGGTGACTGGAGCCACTTTTCTCAGAAGACAAGCATCTCTGTGGACATATTAGTCAATCCAGACATTAAGCCACAAAGAATTGGAGAGCTGGGACCTGAAAGGAGGTAAATTCTAGATATTTTTTTCTGCAAGTATTAAAATATAGTTAGCATACTAGGTGGCTCCCAAATATATTGTGAATGCTTTAAAATTCCAGATTAAACTGAGAGAAATGTCAGGTCTAGCCATCATGCTAATGTTAAGGGCTATATCTCAATGTATTCTCGAAGGCTTTCGCGGCCGGGATCTGATAGTTGCTGTGGGGTTTTTTTGGGTTCTTTGGCCGTGGTCTGAAGGTTGTTCTTCCTGACGTTACACCAGTCTCTGTGGCCGGCATCTTCAGAGGACTGAAGTAGGAACTCTGTCCATGCTCTGTTGCTGTTTGTTGGATAGTTGAGTATTTATAGCTGTGGGAACAGCTTTTGTCTTTTTTCAAAATCAAAAGAGCCATTAAACCAAGAAAACAACACCAAACTGAAGAGGAAAAACAGCCACCCACAAATAAAGTATTTCTGATGTAAATCAAAGGGGTCATGGACCGCATGGGGAAACTTTCGAAAAAACACAACCTACAAACAGCATTTAGACTCACCATAAAACTACAACAAATGTTACGGTCAGCAAAGGACAAAAGGGACTCCCTCACCACTGCAGGAGTATACTGGATACCTTGCAGTTGTGGACAGGTCTATATTGGAACCGCAAAACACAGCATTCACACCAGAATCAAAGAACATGAGAGACACTGTAGATTAAAACAACTGGAAAAATTGGCAGTAGCTGAACATGCCCTAAAACAAGCTGGCCATGATCTATTTCAAAATACTGAAGTACTGGACAACACCTGCAATCTGTATGTTAGCCTGCACAGCGAAGCCATTGAAATCCAAAAACATCAACAGAACTTCAACAAAAAGGAAGAAGGCCTAAAACTAAATGCGGCCTGGCTCCCAATTCTGAAAAATACAGCCTGCAAAAGGTCAATGAACTCTACCCAGCCACAAGGGCCAGGGATCATTGCACAAAAAAGACCAGCTAAGGACACTCAACAATCACAGTGACAGATAATCTCTCCCCCCCATCACAACAAAAACATGCTGATCACCCTATCTCCTGAAAAAAGACAAAAGCTGTTCCCACAGCTATAAACACTCAACTATCCAACGAACAGCAACAGAGCATGGACAGAGTTCCTACTCCAGTCCTCTGAAGATGCCAGCCACAGAGACTGGCGAAATGTCAGGAAGAACAACCTTCAGAACATGGCCAAAGAACCTGAAAAACCCACAACAGCTATATCTCAACTTCAGTCTTCAGGGATTAACACTGTATTTGCCACCTGTTCTGTCATGTGGCATTTCCTGGATGTCATGTTAGTTTTACGTTTCAGATCTGTCTTCTGTTCTCTGCTCAATTATGTCAGAGCAGTCTCTGAATCATACAAACATCTCGTCATTGTACAGAAAAAACTACTGTAGGAAAAAAACTGGCCAGTGATATGTGTCTATGTGTTTTCTCACACAGGTGTTTTGTGTGGGAAGGTGCCTGGAGGGTGGATGTTCTGATGGCTTCATTTAAAGAGGTGCAGAGCGGCCATCCTTTCAAACTTCTCTTGACTGTTAATGAGCCGGTAAGAAAATTCTGGTGCCCCAGTTTTTTCTTCTTCTCGTTGGCTCCTGATTTCTAGTCATTAAATGTATGTTATGTATATATTCAAATTAGAAATTGAGTGTCTTATTTATTAAATGTCAAAAAATAGCACTCAAGATGGGTAACAAAGCAACCTCGATATCTAGCAGAATGCCTTCTCCCACCTAGATCTACTCGAGTCAATCGCCATAGCCAGGAAAGATGGCTGAGGGGCCTACCGCCGAGAGAGGCCCGGAAAGAAAGAACTAGAAACCGGGCCTTCTCGGCAGTGGCCCCTCGACTTGGAATAGCCTGCTGTCAGAGATCCGCCTGGCAGCCTCGCTGGGTGTTTTTAAGAGCCAATTAAAGATTTGGCTCTTTAGGCAGGCTTTCCCTCTTGTCAATACTTGATTTTTATTTTTTACTTAGTTTTTTGTTTATATTTTCCCACCTTGATTAATAATTTATTGCTGATTTAATTGTTGTTTTAACTGCTTTATGAATAATTGTATTGTAAACCGCCCTGAGTAGACATTGTCTAGAAGGGTGGGATAAAAATCTAATAAATAAATAAATAAATAAAATAAAATAAATAAGCATTCAAATGAAACAAATCCAATTAAAAATAAACAAAAACAGGTTAAAACACAAATCAAAGCAGGTCAACTAAAATGAAAATAACCCTCTTAAACTCTAACCCAGTATCCATCTCTGTGCCTTTTCTTGTCAAATGTGATTCCCTGTTCTGAACTGTGATTTCCAGTATAAATTCCCTCAGTCAAATAGTAATTTCTCCCAATACTAGGAAGCTGTTCAGGTATAAGCAGAATGGTCAAAAAGCAGTGCTATTACACCTGAACTGAACAGCCTTTCCAGATAAGAAATATACACCTTGATCAGTGGTGTTGAAAGTTAGTAAGAGGCCACGGTGGATAGATTCATTGGCACTCTCCAAGTGTCTATCCTGTTAAATGTCATCCCTCAGGGCAACCAAAGCAGTTTCAATGCCAAGACTAGACCTGAAGTATGATTGAAATGCATCTAGGAAGGCAGTTTGCTTGGAGCTGTCTGGCAACTAAGGATCTGCCATTTATTTATTTTTTGTTTTTAACTCCAGCTCCCAGATTTCTCCAGGAAATTTTTTGTGTTCCACTGCGCAGACCCACACCTAAAGACATCTATAGTTTATTAACCTGAAGATATTCATCTGGCCTAAACCCAAGGCTGTATGGCCTAGTCTAGCTTTGCTTTCTGTGCTGCCATGTTACTTCCTGGGAGTGGTTGCCTCACTGTATGGAGGGTATCTCTTGAAGATCGACCATTCCCAGTAAACACAATTAACCAGTAAATCAATAGTCCATTCTAGTTTGTTTTAGAAGTCCTTGAATCATTCTCCACATTTCAGTTCCTCAATATTCAGTTTTTCCACACTGTACACAAACAAAACATTTCTTACAACATTATCAGCTTGGTTTATCTCCCCGCATCAGTCATTTGGCTTTCGAGGTACCATCTGAGTCTCTGTTACTCCATGGTTTGCAAAGTCCAAGTCTTTCACCTTCCCATTGTAGTAAGGTGTACCGTGGACTGGTCCGGTCATTACTGCCTCCTTCAGCTGGACACACGGCTGCTGGCACTCAGGGGTCCCTCTGATGATCGCTGGCTCCTTCTTCCGCGTTCTCTTCCGTCGACTGGAGGTCATTGGCCACTCGGTTGTCCACTGGATGTCCTCTGCTTGTCGTCTGTTAGTGATGTCTGCTTTAAGTCTGGCTTGGGGCTTCTCTTTCTCAGATGGGGAAAGGGTAGGCAGTTCCCTCTCCTCCTCCCGAACATCTCTGGATGCGTCCCTCTTTAAGACGTCAGAGCTCCTGTGCCTCATATAAGCCTTTCTCTTTTTCAGGAGTACTTCCCAAGCTTGGCTCTGCCACTTCTAAGAACTTTTTTCTGTATAAAAGCTCCTTATCCAGGCAAGACCTTTCAGGACATTCAGGAGATAATAAGATGGGTGTACTGGTGGCTGCTTCAAAGCAACCTACCAAACTAATTTTCTCCTCCTGCTCCTGAGGCAAACTAGTTTTATTTGGATTCTTTAGAAGCATAAGATCAGCTTCTGGACGATAATTAGGCTGACTTCCAAAGAGACTTTTCCCCTCCAGGCTTCCCTCTGCTACTGTAGCCATTTCTGCTGCAGCCGGTGATTCCTGGCCCCCTTCTGAGCGTGTAAGTACAAAAGCACTCTTAACGTGCTCTATCAAATGTAAATCCTCTCTATATATCACATCTTTATCAGTCATACACCTCTCTGGGTGTTCAGGGGTCAGTGGAATGGGATTCTCTCTAACTTTTGTAGTACAATCATTCGAAGTACTATCTTCCATCTATTCCGCAATACAGAAAAGATCATTAGAGGTTTTCAAAATAACCTCATCAGCCATTTTTGTTACCTCATGGTTCTTTTCTAACTCCCTGGATAGATTCATAGGTTAGGGAATCCATTTTCCTTCAGGGATTGTTAACTGCTCTCTCAGGGAACCTGTTACTTCACAAGCATTCTGCACATGCTTAGTGAGATCTAACCCAATTAAACAAGGTGCAGGAATTCGATCAGAAATTGCCACGTCTCAATTTCCGATCCAATCTCTATAGTTTATTTTTACTTTAGCCATGGGTAAAATCAATGGAGTAGATATTCCCTTGATTGTAATAGTTTGGTTTGGAAGAATTTGTTATTTCGGAATCACATCAGGATGGCACAGGGTTATGTTAGAACAAATATCAATCACTCCAATGTAAGACTTTTCATTAAGAAGAATCCACTCACCAGGGTTATGAACTAAAATATCTTCTGCCTTTACCAGAAAACAATGAACAACCTGGGTTAGTGGCAGATCAGAATTTTCTGTTGTGCCGGTTGCCATGGAGACAGAACCACCATTGTTACAGCCTCCCTCAGTGGATTCAACTGGTTTTAAACAGTACACTTTCTTGGTCTGATCATCTTTCCAATTTTTACTCTTATTTTTCATACAATTTGTCTGATAATGCCCAAACTCTTCACAGTTATAACACTTTATAAGTCCTTCGCTCATTCTGAGGAGACCTGTTCAATCGTAACATTTTCTCACAGTTCATTTGGGTCTGAGAACTAGGCCGTGCTAATTTAGGTGAGGTGCTACTCTGGCCTTCTTTTCCTGTTGTTTTGCTGAGGACATTTTTATTAAAGGGTTTCTTATGGTTGTCCCAGTTTTGCCTGTTAAAATTTACCTCAGAGAACCTGTGGCTTCAAATCTCCCCAATGTAATCAGCTGTTTCACCTGCTTCTAATAGATTTTTAGGATTTTTGTCTCACCAACTCACTCTGACTGACTGACCTCTCAGGCTCCGCCTTTTAACCTCTCTTGGCTCCGCCTCTCAACAACATTAGCACACAGTATGAATAATACATGACTTATACAGTACCTAACAAAGGGTGAACGCTACAATCACGTTCAGTCACAACTCTCCACTATGATCTGTCTGTCTTGGGTGTCCCTGCATGGCCTAGCTTCTCTGAATTACTCAAGCCCCTTCGCCACGACAAGGCAGCAATCCGTGAAGGGGTGGGCTCTGCTACAAGTAAACAAAATGTAGGTGTCTGTTGATGTAGGTCTGTGGATTGGAACTCCCAGAATTCTGCCTGGGCAATTCTGGGAGTTTCAGTCCAAAAAAGAGGCAGATCTCTGCTGACAACCATTAGTTTTTACACTTTTCCAGGGAAAGTACTATTAGAATTCAGATTATAGTTCAGACCTGTGTCCCAAAAAAGCTTTTTCAGAATAGTGTTACAAAACATTTCCTTTTCTGTCTCTTATCAGGCATGTCAACAGCTTGCTAGCTCCTGCTTTTTATTACAAGCCCAGCTGGGTCCCTTACTAGCTTTCTCCTCTTTCTATACTATTCTGTACAGCAGCCATTCTCAATGGGAGCCCTGGCACATTTGAATGGAGCTACAGACTGGAAAGAATTCTTCACATACCACCTTATAATGATTATTATGTGATACAACTGTTGTATTCTCAACCGTTTTCCCTTAGCCAGCCGATCAAACCCTCAGTGTTAGCAATCTCCCTGCCCATAGTTACGATTATTCCTTCTTCCTTATTTGTATATTACATTTTGAGTAAGATTAAAACTAGCATTTTCATGCCTGCATCTCCTTCTTAGTTGTTCAACAGCACCCCCACTCGCCCATTTCAGGCTCTAGAACCCAGTCAGTCACCCGTTCTACCAGAAGATGCTGTTCGGGGGTTGGATGAGCCTTCTGAGGTAGGTTTTATCTATGGGAGTTTTCTTCTTGATAATAGTCTTGCAAAAAATTCTGACTCTAGGATGCAACCAGCTAGTGTGCAGGTTATACAAATACATAGCAGAGTTCTGGACTGTGCTTTTTTGCAATGCAGATATTTGGAGGTTGAAGACTTGTGCTATCTTCCTAATATATTGCCCACATAAAAATGTTTGCTAGTATATTAAGAAGATGATACTATGAGAGCTTCCTGCCCTTTAAGCTTATTTTCTGCTTGCAAGAATGTTGTTTTTCCAGTGTAGATAACCATGCATTTATATGACATTACACCTTCTATTGGAAAATGAAGTTTTACCACATCTTTCTCTGTAATGTGCTGAAATTCATAGATCTAAACGAGTGGCTGTGGGTCTCATTTGAAGTTCTAAAACTAAAAGGGTATGGTATTGTTGTAATCATGCTTTAAATGCCGTGACTTCATTATGAAATGGGCCATGTAATCAGGCATCCTGCTTTGCATCTAAGCAGAGGGCTCCTGGATGCTTACAAATGGAGCATAATAGAAGCAAAAGCTCTCTAGTAACTCAGACACCCTCTATAAAGCGCCCAGTACTATATGGAGAGTGAAAATAATGTGACTTCTGGGCCCAGAACTGCTTTTGTGGGTTCCATAGCTTTCATGTCACAAAAAAAGTTTTTTAAAAGGGAGACACATTTCACACGCTAGCAAGGTTATACTCCTACAAGGTAGGCTTCAGCAGTATGTGGACCGGGAACTCCCAGAAGTACAAGCTGGATTTCGAAGGTGCAGAGGAACTAGAGACCAAATTGCTAACATGCGCTGGATTATGGAGAAAGCCAAAGAGTTCCAGAAAAACATCTACGTATTTCTGCTTCATTGACTACACAAAAGCCTTTGACTGTGGATCACAGCAAACTATCGCAAGTTCTTAAAGAAATGGGAGCGCCTGACCACCTTATCTGCCTCCTGAGAAGTCTATATGTGGGACAGGAAACAACAGTTAGAACTGGATCTGAAACAACTGATTGGTTCAAAATTGGGAAAGGAGTACGACAAGGCTGTATATTGTCCCCCTGCTTATTTAACATATATGCACAATATATCATGCGAAAGACAGAACTGGATGAATCCCAAACCAGAATTAAGATTGCCAGAAGAAATATCAACAACCTCACATATGCAGATGATAGCATTCTGATGGCAGAAAGTGAGGAGGAATTAAAAAACCTCGTAATGAGGGTGAAAGAGGAGAGTGCCAAAAATGGTCTGAAGCTCAACATCAAAAAAACTAAGATCATGGCCACTGGTCCCATCACCTCCTGGCAAATAGAAAGGGAAGATATGGAGGCAGTGACAGATTTTACCTTCGTTAGGCGCCATGGCTGCAGATGGTGACAGCAGCCATGAAATTAAAAGACACCTGCTTCTTGGGAGGAAAGTGATGAGAAACCTAGACAGCATCTTCAAAAGCAGAGACATCACCTTGCCGACCAAGGTCCACATAGTCAAAGCTATGGTTTTTCCAGTAGTGATCTATGGAAGTGAGAGCTGGACCATAAAGAAGGCTGACTGCTGAAGAATTGATGCTTTTGAAGTGTGGTGCTGGAGTAGACTCTTGAGAGTCCCCTGGACTTGAAGGAGAACAAACCTATCCATTTTGAAAGGAATCAATCCCTGGAAGGACAGATCCTGAAGCTGAGGCTCCAATACTTTGGCTATCTCATGAGAAGAGAAGACTCCCTGGAAAAGACCCTGATGTTGGGAAAGTATGAAGGCGAGGAGAAAGGGACGACAGAGGACGAGATGGATGGACAGTGTCATTGGAGCGACCAACATGAATTTGACCCAACTCTGGCAGTGAAAGACAGGAGGGCCTGGCATGCTCTGGTCCATGGGATCACAAAGAGTTGGACACAACTTAAGAACTAAACAACAACATGCCTTCAGAAGCTCCTGTGGTTGTAATTCTTCTCTTAAATAAGGTTACTCCTCGGGCACCTTACTTTAGCTCAAATACGTTTTTGAGAAAGGTATAACATTACTTACTTCTTGGCTTTGCCAAAATGATGCCAGTGAGGTTCATGACATGTCCACGGGCTGTAAAATGGCTTCTGGACCTTCCAATCTGCCCACCCTTACTATATGTCATAGTGAGCCCTTTTTATTATGCACCCTTGTCATCATTTTTTGAAAGCCCACAAGCAATATAATTCTGACTTGTTTTCTATGTAACAGGTTAAAAGCCAGAGTTCAACCGTCACTTCTAAAAAAGTTTTGGCTGAGAAGAAATTCTCTCCACTATTAGAAAAGATGCTGCTGCTTCCAGATCCAAAAATAAGCCCCACACAAGTAGAACCTGAGACCAGGAAGAAAACATGCCTGCCGAATCCAGTTCAGCTAAATAAAACCAGGAGAGCTCTCTTTGAACTCCCAGCAGCTGAAGGGCAACATGAATCTGAAGGTGAGGTCCTTAATAATTGGGGCTAAAGCCACTTTCCAAGACCAGCATAGCTGTGTGCAGCCTTTTGGTATTGGGTGAAGTGTTTCTACTTCAATGAATTCCAAAGTTTCATTTCATTCCACTTCATGATACCGCTTGGTCTGCTTTTCAAAATCATTACGCATGATAGGTTGTGTTTCCAGTGGCTGCACAGGTGGAAGGCAACTCTGGCAATCAAGCTTTCTTTCCCCCTCCTCTGACTTGCAGCTTCTGGCAACCATCCCCAAAAACACACTGCAGAGGGTCAGAGAACTCCCTTGATCAGTGGAGGCTGTGTTTGACAGGGCTGCCGCAGAAGAGGAGAATAACTATCTTGCACCGGTTGGAACTCCTTGCAGCACAAAAAATTTAAATCTGTTTTCTGACTGTTCCCCCCCTTCTTGCACTGCATCTCTCTGTGATCAAAAGTTTGGAAGGATCTCTCGACCCTCTGGAAAGAGTTTTCAGAAGATGAGGTGGTGGAATAAGCAAAGCAAAAGACAGATTGTGCAACTGCTATCTGTATCTTGATAACTTCAGCTTTGGGGGTGTAATTATCATCTAGATTAATCCCTCTGCATGCTGCAGGCCTGATACTGATCGTGCCTTATGTAGCTGCTATTTCCAATTGGAAAAAAAATCACACTGTATGTTCAATAGTTCTAAGATGATGATTACATATAATTTGGTCTTCATTGCCTAAAACAACAAAAATATATATCTGATGGATTTTAGTTTATTTTGAGAGTGCATTCTAAAATACATGAATTTAAGGTATAGTGGCAACTCTGTAATCTTTGTTTATAAAGTAATAGTGTATCTTATATTTCTGATATACTGTACATGCAAGACCCAGAATTGAAAATCTTTAATGAGAAATTCTTGCAGTAAGGAAATAACTTCTGTGTACTCTCTCTCTCTCCAGACTTGGACGTCAAAGAGTTGCAAGGTAAATACATGAATATTGAATATTTTTGGCTACTCCTATAATGCACAATCATTATTCTTATATTTTCTATTACATATAGATTTGTACTGACTTCCTTTGCTTTATTAGACTGTAACTCTTTGGTGTGTACATGGTGCTATGATCAATCCATAATAATCATGACATAGCCAGGAGTGGCTGGGTAGGTATAGGTATAATATATTTCAGCAGTGTTCCTTAATCAACCATTTGATTAGAATAATTGATTATTTTCACTAAACACAGCTGTAATAGTCTTTTCATTTAAGTATTTTTGTGCAAATATCATACTTAAATGTATTCAAAAGATGTTGATACTAATCAAAATGTATAAACACAAGTAAAGCAAAGCAAAATCAAAGTATGTTGCTTATGTACTACCCCATAGTGCTTAAAGCACTCTCTGGATGGTTTACAAATTAATTATGCAGGCTACAACTCCTCACACAAGCAGGGAACTCATTTTACCGACCTCAGAAGGATGGAAGACTGAGCGAACCTTGAGCCGACTACCTGGGATTGAACCCCCGGTTGTGAGCGCAGTTTGATTGCAGTATAGCAGTTTAACTACTGCACCATGAGGCTCCGATAAGTAATAAAATAGGGCTGATCAGAAAGTTAATAGTGAAGGTGTGCATTACACTCATTTCCTCAGTATATCACTGTGCATACCTGAATTTCACCCTGCACAGAAAGAAGGTTTTTATTACTAAGACTAGTTGTGCTTCCAAAACTAAAATCAGAGAATTGTAGAGCTGGAAGAGGCCCGCGGTAATCAAATCCAACCCTCTGCTGCAGCACAACTAAAGTATTGCTGACAGATGGCTATCCCACCTCTTGTTTAAAAACCTCCAGATTGTCCTGTTCTTTCACTCTCTTTTTCAAAGGAAATTATATTTTCTGCAGTCTGAGAAATACAGAAGGTACAAAAGGAAAAACACATATGAACAATTTGATGATTTTACCGTGTGTTGATGCCCAGTGGAAAGTGGGTGAACAAACCGGGATAATTGCACATCAAATAACATAGTGCATAAGCACCCATGTTTTGCATTCTGGCTTTGTGGGGAAAGGTCTCTCACCTGGATTACCCCTCCATAATAAGTCAAATTCTGTAGTCTAGTTCTGCTGTCTCCAGTACTGCCTGTTCTCTCTAGTATGCCCAAGTCCTCGATGGTGCCATGCTATGTGCCTGAGTGACCCTGAAACTGCAGTACTGATTGGTGGTGAAGGAGCTAATCAGCAATGTTGCAAAGATGCTCTCTGGAAACTAGAAATTGGTAAGACACTTTTGTGCTTCTACTGATGCATTAATGTTTATCCATCTTCAAGTGATGGAGGGAAATTTGAGCGCATATCGTGGGTTTATTTCAGATGGGAAATCTCAGAGTCTCTACTAGATCTGTAAATTTGAAGCTAAAATGCCTGTTGTGCAGTATTTCAGTCCCAGCAGTAAGAAAGGTGACTCTGAGCATACTAATGGCTGATTCATCTATTTTTTCCCTCTTACATGTATTGTGTCTTCTGTTGCTGATTTTGCAGACAGTGACTTCTGGTTCCCCATGGATTTCCCAGACCAAGATTCTATAGCGCAGTGTTCACGGGGCCACAGTGCCACCTATGACCCAGATACAAAACGCATCTACATCTTTGGGGGTATGAGGGAGGGGAAACGCTATGGCAGCATCTATATCCTGGACACAGCATCTTGGAAGTGGCTTCATGTGTCTGTGAGTTGCAAGAGGAGCAAAGTCTTAGGCACCAAAAAGAGATGTTGTTTAGGTCACTTTGTGAACATATGTGGGATTTCTCTTTCTGCCTTTGCTTTTTATGCACTTCTTTCTGTAAGCATGCTTTTAGGCCTTGGAAGAAGGTACTTCACTCACATCACAGGTGAAATAAATAAATAACTGGAACAGATACTCTTTGAGATCTGTCAGGAACTGGAGGAATCTTACTCAGTGATGCCACCAGCAGAAGCTTGTCAGCCTAACGTGCCAATGATGTATTGTAACTGGAAATCTCTTCCTCAGGCTAAAGGGAAAATACCCACACTGGCTTACCACAGTGCAACCATCTATCACAAGGAACTATTTATCTTTGGAGGTGCTTTCCCTAAAATGTCATCCTTGGAGACTGGAGCCTGCAGTAATGCACTCTTCATTTTTAACCCAGAATATGAGATCTGGTACCAGCCTATTATTGAGGGAGAGAAGCCCCTGCCTAGACTTGGGTGAGCTTTCAGATCTCAGAGGAGTCTAGAAAAGAAAATGTTGTTTGCTTGATCTTTTTCCTTACCCAGAGGGTAAAACTGTGATGTCTATCTCTTTCCCTCTCATGCTCATTTTCATTTTTCTTTCTGAGGTAGCTTTAAGTAACTAATGCACAATTCATTTGAGAATTCTTAATAATGCTCCTTCATTGACGTACAGGGATCCTGAGGAGACAACCCTGTGTAAATCCTGCTCTTGACGTTTAGCTGATGCACCTTCAGAAAGCTTTTTGCTTGAAATAAATTTACTCACTTTTAATTATTTATTTATTTGTTTGTTTGTTTGATTGATTTATATCCCGCCCATCTGGTATATTCTACCACTCTGGGCAGCTAATTCTGTCCCAGTGTAGTTTAGTGGATAGAGTGATGGACTCGGACTCTGGAGAACAGGACTCAAATCCCCACTTGGCCATGGAAAAACTCACTGGGAAAGTGGAACTGTTAAACCTACCATATTTTTCCATGCATAAGACACTACTATTTCCTAAAATCATTACGCTAAAAATCGAGTGGCATCTTATACACGGATGTAAACTGAGATTGCTTGTAGTTTAGTGGATAGAGTGATGGACTAGGACTCTGGAGAACAGGACTCAAATCCCCACTTGGCCATGGAAAAACTCACTGGGAAAGTGGAACTGTTAAACCTACCATATTTTTCCATGCATAAGACACTACTATTTCCTAAAATCATTACGCTAAAAATCGAGTGGCATCTTATACACGGATGTAAACTGAGATTGCTGAGCAGATAGCAAAATGATCCATGCCTGTAAACACGCTTCCTTCAACCATGAGGCTTAGCTTTCTACAGACAGGAGACTTAACTTCCTCCAATCATGAGCCTTAGCTTTCTACAAACAGGAGACTTAACTTCCTCCAGTCATGAGCCTTATGGAACTGACGTCAGCTGATGCTGAACAAACTGGTTGGAACACACCGAGGTGGAGCCTGTAGGCTCAGATTCAACAGAGACCTGTAATGTGCAATGTTCTGAGCCCAGAGGCTGAATACTCACAGCTAATTTTTCTTAATTTGGGGGTTAGAAGGGGGGCTACAAACAGGAGACTTAACTTCCTCCAGTCATGAGCCTTATGGAACTGACGTCAGCTGATGCTGAACAAACTGGTTGGAACACACCGAGGTGGAGCCTGTAGGCTCAGATTCAACAGAGACCTGTAATGTGCAATGTTCTGAGCCCAGAGGCTGAATACTCACAGCTAATTTTTCTTAATTTGGGGGTTAGAAGGGGGGTATCTTATAAATGGAAAAATATGGTATTCCTTAAATATGTCACTTACCTTGAAAGCCCTCATAGGGTTGCTGTAAGATGGTTCCGACTTGACAGCACACAGTAACAACACCCCCTTCTTGGCTCCCCCACACACACTCTGCCTCCCCCCACTCCAATTTGAAGCTTGTTGTATAACTTTTCAGTGAAAAGATCCAAAACTATATCTTGGGTCTAGTATGAGCAGCAGGTATTTTCACTTTTGTGTGGAGGTCTGCAATTTTGGTCTAATTCCCCATTTGTGTCACTTGTGTCATATTCTACACTATTCCTACACCGTGGAGATCAGCTGGGTTGAGGAGGACTGCAGTATGGAGAAGAGAAATAGAAAAGTCCAATTTCATGAGCAGAGTGTCACTTAATGGTCTGTAGGCTGTAAGCCAATAAAGAAGATATTGTAGATCTCAGAAAAAGACTGGGAAAAAGATTTAATAGGCTAGAGCCTCGTGGTGCAGTGGTTAAACTGCTGTACTGCAGCCAAAACTGCTCACGACTTGGGGTTCAATCCCAGGTAGCTGGCTCAAGGTTCACTCAGCTTTCTATCCTTCCAAGGTTGGTAAAATGAGTACCCAGCTCGCTGGGGGGGGGGGCAATGTGTAGCCTGCATAATTAACTTATAAACTGCCCAGAGAGTGCTTGAAGCACTATGGGACGGTATATAAGCAGCACACTTTGCTTTTTTGCTTTAGAGCAGCCCCAAATACTATAATCCAGTGGTGTCGAACTGTGGCCCTCCAGATGTTCTTGGACTTCAACTCCCAGAAGCCTTCACCACCACCTCTGCTGGCCAGGATTTCTGGGAGTTGAAGGCCAAGAACATCTGGAGAGCCACAGTTTGACACCACTGCTATAATCCATAGAAGATTATAATATTTGGGGTCTTAACTTAGGTGAAAGGAGAGAAAGTGAAGACATGATAAAGGTAGAAAAATTATGTAAATTGTATATGTTATGGAAAAGATGGTTAGGGAAAGATTTAAATTAGTAGAAGTTGCATTTGAGTTGGATGCTAGATATGTAATACAGTACACAGGACTAAATTACAGGTTCCTTCAGTGGAACGTTAAGAGTGGCTTGGGTGGTGCTGGAATCTGTTCCTTCTTATTTGTGCCCTTCTGCTTTTGCCATCCAGGCTTCATATGCTGTGCATTTCAGATTGGCCCCTTGAATTTGAATCTGGAGGTTATTATCGGAATCAGTCAGTTTCCTGAAAGCTTTCACCGTAACTCTAATTTTGTTAAGGCCTTGTTAGAGGCGGCCAGACGTTTGCACCTTTCTGTGAAAGGTCTTCCTAGCTTTCGGAAATGATGGAGCTGCACTGGATGCTCATGTAAGACTTGCACAATGGGAATGCTGAGATCCTCAGTGTGATGGCTTAAGCTAGGAAAAATGACACTGAAGCCTTATGACTTGAACCGGAGCTCTAGAGACTGTCACTAGTGTTCCAGTTCTTTATTCACTGTTCTCTCTGTATCACAGCCATTCAGCTACTCTGCTGAGGAACAAGTTGCTCATATTTGGGGGTCAGAAGACTTCCACATACTTGAATGACACACACATCCTGGATCTGGGTAAGAATGGGACACAGTGAGCATTTGTGTGTGTGTTGCCTCAATTTTAACAGGATTTAGGCAGCTGTGTGCTTGTTGGGGGTAAAAGAAAGTCCAGAGATAGAAGCTCCTTGAAGTCAGGCAATTGTGTAGTGATGTGAAGAAGATGTAGGGTGATGTAAGCAAGCAATGACTTTTATTTATGTATTTAAATTTTGGAGAAGGTACCCATTAGTCTTTGTAATCTGTAAGTATATTGCAACAAAAGCAGTTGAGTCGTGTCACAGAACCTTTGGTTACCAAACTGGTTGCAACATGAGTTTTTGTGGATGAGAATACAAAAGCGGTTGAGTCATGTCACAGAACCTTTAAAGGTTACCAAACTGTTTGCAACATGAGTTTTTGTGGATGAGAATTTTTTTCCAAAACATAAAGCATTATTTTCACTTGAGGCATACATATATGTACATGCATGCATATTTCATTGCTATTTAACTTCACTGATTACATTCTCCTTCCTCTACGCTGTGTGTATCTATCTGCTACGAGGAGGATAACACATCATCCATCCGATCCAAGAAGCCTCTTGTCTGTTAAAGTTTATGCCATAATATGCTTCAGCCTTTAAGATGCTACAAAACTTTTGTGCTCGTGACAGGTTCCTTGTGTGTGGAATCTCCCCTGATTATTCTTCTGTGTAACTCCTTCAGGTTTCATGGAATACACATCGGTTCCATTTCTTTCTGGACAACCTTCTGCTCGCAGGTAAGAGCCAGTTGTGGAACAGCCTTTGTTCTGTAGCCACAGCAATGGTAAGAATAGTTCTAGTGACCGCAGGGCAAATTCATTTCTGGTGCTGTCAGGCATTGTTCAGCATTCCTGGGGCCTGGGCTAGAGGAAGAGCGGAGCTTTAAATGGGGGCATTATTCTTAGAACAAATGTGTTAATTACTGAGGAGAAATTCAATGTAAACATATACTGGGTGAAAATAGCAACCACTTTCTCTGCCCATATCTAAGATTCTAGGAACATGATATAGACACTGGTGCATTTGTAGGCAGAATGATTTGGGAGAAGATTCCAGAGGAAATATTTTACCCTAAAAGTAATTTCATTTGTAGCATTTGAGTTGTAGGAGGCTCACTTAACCTTTGCCTCCAATTCCTCTGCCATTGTTACTACTTTTCTCTGTTGCTCCATGGATGCCTCATTTCTGATTTGATTATGCAGATGAATGACATATTAGGATTAAGACAACAGAAGGGCCGAGACTGGACATAATAGCTGAGTGTAAAAGATGATGGTCCTAGAGAGGAGAGCATCATATAATTCATGGTGTGTGTGAGACTTATAGGCCTTTTTGTTAGTCTTTTGACTCCTGAGATGCTCTCGTCTGCTTTCAGCTTCCATGCTGCCATCCCAGTGTCAGATCGGAAAGTGCTGATAAGTGGGGGTTGCAATGCCAAAGGAGCCTTTCGGGATGCCTTTACGTTCCATTTGGGTAGGTCATTGTAGGCCTCTCATCAGTAGGGATGCTTCAAGAGGTTTCCTATCAACCACCATCTTTTTCCCCCCACCCCTCACCTGTTGCAGATACTTTGACTTGGAACACAGTCAAGCATGCTGATCTTTGCTCTGTGCCTCGGGCAGGCCACACGCTGCTCAACCTGACCTGTTCTCACCAGACAGACATGGATAAGGAGAGCCAAGGGAAGCACAACCTGTGCATGGTGCTGGTCTTTGGAGGTTCAGACCGCACTGGTCGCTTCTACAACAGTACTAGTAAGCTCCAGTTGGACCTTGAAGAAGTGAAAGGGGCCTCAGAGCCTCCATCCTGATCCAGCAAACAAGAAGAGAAAGGGGAGATAGGGGATTTCAAAAGAATAAAAGGGAAGGAGGGAGTTACAGGTTGTTTTGCCAGTTAGTAACAACAGGGATCATAAATCGTCAAATTAAAATAGGAGTTGTCAAGATAGTTCTCTCTGTCTGTCTCTCTCTCTCTCTCTCTGAAAGGTTTGTGATAATTCATCAACTCAATTGAGTGGCTACGTTTTCATTGTTTACCTAAAGTATGTTTAAAGTGTCTGGAAAATGTTATAGAGTGTTTATAAAATCAAGGGGATGAAATTTGTTCTTTGGGTATTTTACTTAACTATGAATTGCATCACCTAAGCCTGAATTCTTTCACTGTATTTTCGCTGCACCTGCCCTTCTTGACCAAAGTTGTCAATATTTTATGCAAACGTCTCTCTATTTCCCCATGCGCTTTAGAAACCAAATTATATAATAAAGCATGCATAGGAAGATTGATCTGATTATTGAATATATGACTCTTAGCTGGTGGTAGTGAAGAGAAGCAAGCACACTTGTGGTGCCTCAAAATTATTTTAACTGCAGGATTAAACCTGGTCCTAAGATCTTCCCTTTTTCTGTTATAGAACTGAATAAATGCGGAGTTTAATTATAATAATAACTATTACATATTGTGATCAATTGCAACATTGTGACGTGACCTTGGGTTTTCTAAGTAAATGGCATTCTGAAGTAGTTTTCTGTTCGCTTCTGGGGAATATCCTGAGACTGTGCAAACTGCCCAAGGCTACACTGGCTAGCTTTTCTTTTGGAAGGCACCTGGGAATCAAACTCAGGACTTCTGCCTAGCTCACTAAGCTGTACAACCAGCTAAGTGCAGACCATACACTGCTCTAATTAACATTTTGGAAAAGAGTCTACTTAGTCTCTCAGGACAAATTACAAGCCCTATGATCTTGTAAAGATCTTCAGTTCCTGCCAAATTACTGCGCCAACTAACTCCTCTTGCTATTATTACAGTCTGTTGTTGCACCAACATAGTAAATAAGAGCAACCCATAGCCACTGGGCTTAGTCTGGCTTGCAAAGGCTTCTTTAGCAGTATATCTGTGAAGATTTTCAGCTGCTAATTTAACAAAATCTGGATTTCTCCTGAGTTTGCATCTTAAATGTATTCATCTATCTAAAGGGTTCTTCTTTTATTTCCAGTACATGAACAGCAATAATTCTTCTTGTACAAGCTAAGATGCAGGCAAATGGGAATAGGTGAGAGGGATAATCCGAAGGGGCAGAGGAACTCGAGACCAAATTGCCAACATGCGCTGGATTATGGAGAAAGCCAGAGAGTTCCAGAAAAATATCTACTTCTGCTTCATTGACTATGCAAAAGCCTTTGACTGTGTGGACCACAGCAAACTATGGCAAGTCCTAAAAGAAATGGGCGTGCCT